GGAAGAGCTAAATGGTTTTGTAACGACTCTTACAGAAATTGTTACTAAAGAGTTACAATGTTAAGACGAGGCAGGGGGGAGGGGATAAAAAGCGGCGTTACGTAGTTTGTGCACAACCCTTAAGTTCGGTCACTTAAGCTTTTACCATTCATATCTCAGACATAAATGAAAATGTTTAACATCAAATATTATAAAAACTAGTTTTCTATTTTAAAAAAAAAAAATTTAATTTATTAAAAAATAAAAATCAAAAATTTTTCTTTAGCAAACAAATTTATTTTGATGACTCTTTAATAAGCAAATGTTAAATTTTATCAAAAAAACTTTTTATTATAAACTTTATCTTTAAAGTTCGCTTATTTGAAGTTTTAATAATATGCACGTGGTTTGCTTACATTTTTCACAATTAACGTTTCACGTCATTCCCGCTAACTGTTGTTTTTAACGTTTAGCGACGCGGTGCGCGCGACAGAAGTTATAGTATTTTAAAATTTCACTAATTTTTAAGAAAAAAAGTACTTTATATTTAAAAATTATTTTTAAATATGAAGTTTTACTATTATAACTAATATTATTTTAATAACACTAGTGCTAAATTTGATCATTTTATTGAATACTTTGCTTATTTTAGATTTCAATTGCATGGATAATTTTAAAATTCTTGCATTGCACAAGAATTATTTCAACAGATTTCAAAATAAACATCACTTTTTTATAGTTCCTATGCACAAAAGTGACCACAAATAAATAAAAAAAAAAAGTGACAACAAATAAAATTTGAAAAAATTTTGAAAAATTGAAATTTTTGCTATTTGTTCTAAAATCACTAAAGCCATATGGCGACTGAACCTAAACCATGTTACGGTATATCAAAAAAAAAAAAAAAAAGAATTAATTTTTATAAAAAAAACTATATAGTCGGGAAAAAGATTCTCTGCGACATAATCAAAACAAATTCGCATTAAGGATTGCTCAATACTTATTAAAGAACAAAAAAATGAATGTTTTTATAACATTTTCATTATATCCTCTATTTTATTATATACTGCTATGCTCTATTGCATCATGAACATATTTAAAATACTAAAAACAACCATAATATTGATCAAAAACATCCGTATTTAAAAGTGTGATGTAATCTATCTTATAAAATTTCCCGAGGTTATCAGTTTTTTGTTCATAAGTTTAATCAAACATGTAAATTTACCATTGGAAATTTATTTAAAAAATGTGATAGAAACAGTTTAGTTAAATTGTGGAAATTTCCACAATTTAACTAAATTTAAAAGTGTGATTTCGAAATCACACTTTTAAATTTTCTTTTTAAAAATTCTTGAAAGTTTTTGTTGATGTTTTTCGTTCTCTGTTATAACACGAACAATTGCATTTTTAACACATAAACATTTATACTAGAGGCGGGTTTTAAGCAAAAATTCACTTTATATCCTTTGGGCTTTTGATCTTCATTCATTGAAAATATAAAATTAGTTTTACAAAATAAAAAACATATTTTCAATGCTAAATATAAAAAAATTAAAAACAAGGCATTGTTATTAACTAATTATTAAAATAATTATATATATATATATATATATATATATATATATATATATATATATATATATATATATATATATATATATATATATATATATATATATATATATATATATATATATATATACATATATTATAGAATAGATATTTCTTGACAAAAAATGAAGTTTTATTCACGATTTTTAGTTATTTGAAGTTTTTAGTAATTTAATTCGTTGCATTTTTTATACGTAACGTTGAAATCGAAACAAATAATTAAAAAATCAGTATAAACTCAGCAATTTAAGTTTAAACTTATTTCTTTAAAGTTATTTTCTCTTTTTAAAAGCGTTTTTCTCCACCAAAAAGATAAATAAACTTTATATTAAAAATTTAAAAAAAAAAATTAAAACTAAATTTTCATTCATTAAAAGCAACAACCATAATTCATGTCAGCCCTTAACTTGATCCTTAATATTAAGAGATTGTCATTATAACTTGCTGGACCACCACGATTGCCGAATACCAGCAAACATACAAAGTTATTTTGAATCTTTATTACTAATATTTGTTGGGTTCCTAAAATGTTAAAAATATTGCGGTTGCATTTTCTGAAATTAGGAAAACATTTTTTAAAATTTAAAAACTAAAATTTTTAGATAAAATTTTAAAATTTTTGCGCTTGATCTTATGATTCTTTATAAACAATAGTTGATTTGCCAATTCAAATAAACTTTTGTTTTTATAAATAAAAACAGCCTATAATTGTCTAGTCTCGTTTGCTTTTTTCTGGATTATACTTTTATTTTACATAACATTTTTTTTTACTAACAATAGTATCACAAACATGTGATTAGCACGAGCCAAGTCTATTGTTTGAGTTTGTTGATTCGCAAAAACATCCTCTTTATTTTTATAAATTGGTTCTACTATAACTTTTATATAACTTTAAATGGTTTATTTGTATTAGGAACTATCAAGTGAGATTTTATTTGTGGTCTATACTTCTATATTTTTAAGACGTCAAAGTCTTAAAAATATAGAAGTATAGACCACAAATAAGAAAATATAGACGATAATTATTGAAATAAAAAATACATATTTGTTTATAAACGGCATTGTCAATATTTACAAGATTTATGCGTCAAGTTACGAAAAAAAATTAACAAGTTATTACTCGTTAAGCTTCAAGTACATTGCTAAACAAATAAAGCATAGTACGATGGTAAAAATAAATCAAAAGTGTTGCTACGCAACGTGTGGGCTGCCCTACGTGATTAAAAAATATTTTTCTCTGATATATATTATTAGAAAAGCTAAAATATAAAAGTAATTTTTATTTAAACGGCAAATAATTAGTAGCTTCAACTTAAAGTGGTTAAAACTTTTAAATATAGCCAAATACAAAATAAATAAAAAATCTACTAAAAATTACAAAACATTAATATTAACCATAAAAAAGTGAGTACCAAGCCACAGCAAAAAAATAACAACAACATTATACATAAAAAAAAAAGTTTATTATTATCGATAATATAAAACCTGACAAGGTCTTAAAACATTTTACTTTAAAACATAACAAAACATTGGCAATTATGAAACTGTTAAAAGTTATTTTGCAATAATAATAATCAGATAAATTTTCAATTAGACCTTATAAGATGAGGAAAATATACAGTAACCTCTTGTTGTACTTTTGCATTTGACGAGGTTTTGGGGGCTCTTAATGGAACAGGTGTGTGTAAGTTTATACTGATCGAATCAATCAGAGCATTTTTACTGAAGCGCTTGAGAACTATATGTTTCCATACTGATTTTTACTATATGTTTCCATACTGATTAATTAATAAAATGAATGATGTTAGTTTCAATAAAACGCGGCTGTGTTGGCTTCTGCTAAAAGAGCTCGTATAGTTTGAGATTGGTTTTAAAAAAATAAAATATATATGTTTGAATTGCTTAAATACATTGGGAATATTCCCAAGACCGTAGGGGCTCCTAAAATTAAAAATAATAATAATCAGTCCAAAGCAAGTACACGAAAAACTATGTAAAAAAAATTTATAATTGAAGTTAATTTGATTGAAATTGCCCCCCCTCCCCCCCAAAAAAAAAATTTTTTTCAAATATTTTTTCATTTCAAAAATTTTTTTCAAATAAATAATTTTAAAGAAATTTACTTAAAAAATGACTAAAAAAAAAGAGGCTTTAACACTATTTTGGGGAGTGCTGCCACCCAATATAATTTTTGTTCCTACAGCCCTGACCTTTTTGACGTAAATGATTGGTCTCAGCAATGAACCAGTGATAATAAAGTTATTTACATATACATATAAAAGTTACTGCAACCCAATCAGGGGCAATTGCTGTAAACAAATGTTGCTAAGTAAGGCACTTACACCGGCTGTATATTAGCACCAAAGATCGTTTTTATAGTTAAATATGTATGTTTTATCATATTTATAAAAGTTATGCTTCATTTTTGTATTAAAAAGTGTTTTTGATATTTAGAAATTAATCAAATTTTTATTATTTTTAAATCATAAGTGAAAACTCGTTTTCAAGCGTTAAACATGTTTTAAACCTTTGTATTGTAAACATGTTAAATGAGTATATGAGTTAATATATTATTTTTTTAAATTAAAGTATAAAAAAGGTTTTATATATTCTATATAAACAAAAGGTGTATACAAAAAACTACGTATGTAAAACGTTTTCAAAAGCATTACTGTAAACATAAGCATGTGTACCCTATAAGCCAGAAATAAATACTAAAGAGTTCTAAATTCCATATAAAGTTGTCCGTAACAAGCAAACTACCTGTTTTGTATAAGAATTTAAATTTTATTTATCGATAATTTTGTTATTACATTTTCAATTAGGTAAGAGAAGATATTTTCCCCAAATAACAAGTCCCTTTTTTAGTAAGCATTTTTGGAATACAGCATTAGCAAATTATGTCTTATCTTCCGTAAAAACTTGGCTCAAGCATATTTAAACGCTTTTCAAAGTTAAGACTAGCGCCATTTTAAGCGCAACTTATGTAAAACGGGAACAATTAGATTGACTTAAGCAAACTGTCATCGTAAAAATAATATCTTTAAAAGATAAAATATTTTAAATGACTTAAAAAAACATATTCTTAAAGTAAAATTACACGTAGCACAATTAAATATCACTTGTGTTAAATAATTTTTATTATAAATAAAATTAGTTCATTTTTTATTCGTTCATATTCTGGTTTGATAAAAAAAAGGAAAATTATTATAAAAAAAAGAAATAAACTATGTTTTGTAAGTTTATGAATTAGCTTTTAAAAAAAATCTTGCTTTGAATTGAAATTTTTTAGGTTTAACGACGTTTTTAATATAAAACTATCGTGCTGTTGTCAGCAAAATAAAGATTTTTATGTCAACAAACGTGTTGTTATTAAACGAGAAAATTAACTAAAAAAATTTTACTCCGTCGCTAAGTGATTCTAAAATTAGTTCGACAAACAGCATTGTTACACAATTTCCTAGAACAAAAGTTATTCACGTTATTTCAGGAATCATTTTAGTTGTTGATTTACACCAGAAACACCTTCTTTTATAAGACCAAAAAATAAACTTTGGAACTTTAAAATGGTGGTAAGTTTAAAAAAGTTTTTTTTTTAATAATTGGCAAGACTTTTTACAACAATATAAAACATTACTTAAAATAAATAAGTTTGTTAAGTAAAAACAAATTAATTAATAACATAAAACTCCCTAAGTTCAAATATTTTTCAATTTTAATGTTTTACCCGCTTATTGTTTCATTTTTTTATAAATTTTAAAAACAATTATCACCAAAATATTCTTGCAAAGTTATCTAAACACATTAGGAAATATTGAGGCTGTTTTACACTCCCTCAATAATTTTTAAGAACAGAAAGAGATGAATATGAGTTGTTCTGTGCAACCGCGTATAAACGAGTGTTATTGCTCAAATTCGTCTACTTTTATAGTAAAAAATTGCACAAAAAAAAAATTGTTCAAACTTTTACTTTTATATATTCAATTTTTAACTCTGAAGTGTAAATAGTATTAAAAATATAAGTTAAAAATATAAAATTAGTTCATTCCTTTAGATACTGAGCTGATTTCTTTGGATTTGCAATATAATGTTAAAACCAAGCTTTAAAAAATACGTTTTTTTTTTATATATAGAGCGCTTCTGATCTGCATTGGTTTTTTAGCGTCCCCGTTGGTATCACAATAACAGTACTTGGATTATTAGGAAATACTGTATCAATTTTTGTTTGGAAAAAACTGATTAATTTAAAGCTGCGTCAAAACCAATCAACCGGGATTTATCTGATTGCTTTAGGAATCTGTGATAGTGGACTACTCGTATTTTTTTTGCTTTTTGACAGTCTACCCACAGCGTTTCCATTTTTGAAAAACAATTCTTACCATTATGCTGCTTTCTATTCCTGGATTGCTTTTCCATTTTTTTTCATATTTTTAATTGCTAGTATTTGGTTGGTTGTGGGTGTGACCTTGAATCGGTTTTTTATGATTGCACTCCCTGTGAAAGTAAAGATGCTGTATACCCCTGTCCGTACATACATAGGAATTTTTGTGTTACTCGCATTTTCTCTTCTTATAAACATCCCACATTTTTTTAACTTCAAACCGCTAGAAGAAGATAGTAAATGGAAAATCGAAAAAACGTTATATGGAAAGAGTAAAGCAGCTGATAATTATGAGTTTTGGCTTCATTGCATATTTCTAGTTTTGGCGCCTTGGATTTGCATTGCTGTTTTAAATTCAATCATTTTATATAAACTTTCAAAGCAAGCTGAAATATCGAGGAATACTAAAAACAGCCAGAAATACGGTAAAATATATTTTTTTGAATATTTTAGCTTAATTAAAAATTATTGTAAACTTACTTTATATGTTCGAATTCGCGCGCCCTGTCAAACTGGCCTCATTCTTCCTCTCTTTATGTAATAGGAGACTTTTTTTTCGTTTTGAAGAAAATATGTAAAAATAACAAAAACTCGTTTTTTATTATAAGCGCCCGTTTAAAATCAGCAACTCATCTAACAATTAAAATTATTATTCTGAAGATTTACGGTATTTTTACGCTTGCATAGCAATAATAAAATAAAATCTACTCTAACAAAATAGACATTTAAACTTTTTAGTTTTTCAAAATGGTTTTCTGTTGTTTTTTTTAAACTAATAGCGTACGTAGTAACTAAAAAAATCTTTTAACATCAACAAAATTTTGGCAATAAATTATACTGCCATGCTAAGCAAAAAACCTGTACCTTCATCTAGCAAAATGCTGGGATATCAGCTAAACAGGTTTAGAAATATTATTGATCGGTTTTAAAGAAAACCGTTGAAATGTTTTGAAAATAAGCAAAATAACAGTAACTCCACGTCATTTGCTTTGTTTATTTGCTACTTATTAGGATTTACTGTATTTTTTTTTTTAGTTTCATAAAATTATGTTTATTTTCTTAATTTCAAATGCTCATTTTGATTGTTAAATATTGGCTATACTTTTTTTTTGTTCTTTTACAGCGAATAATGGTACAAAACCACATTATATTACTGCAATAAATAAAAGTTTGTTAAAATTTTCGTCATTTGAACACCTAAATTAAAACTCATTTCAGTATTTAAATATGCAATGGATAGAATTGTAAACTTTTGTAAAGAATATATATATATATATATATATATATATATATATATATATATATACACATATATATATATACACACACACACACATATATATATATATATATATATATATATATATATATATATATATATATATATATATATATATATATATATATATATATATATATATGTAGGGGAAAGCGGGGCAACATGGCGAATGGGGCAAGATGGGTTTTCATATAACAACTCAAAAAAAAAATAATTGGGTGAAAACGAAACTGTATTTGCATCTTGTATTTTAAAACACCAATTGGTTTTTTGAAATATTATTAACGCCATATTATACAAATATGTTTACTTTTTGCGCTTAAAAAAAAACTCCTCACTTTCGGTTTCTCATAATGGTTGGTGTCCTTCAAGTTTAACTTCTTTAGAAGTAGTTTTAGCAATTTGTGTTTATTTTTTGTTACTTTAATTAGAGTTATTAGCAGTTTTTAAAATTTTATAAAATTGGAGGTAAAAATTGCATAATAAGTCGTCTTGCCCCGGTCACGTGACCAGATAACAAATTTATGAACTTTTTATTTTAATATTTATTTCAAATTGTTATATTTTCAAACTGAAAATTCATGCAGGCAATGAAAGAACTTAATAGCATAAACATACTGAGAAAGTATTATGGCTTCACGACTTATAGTTTTTCAATAACTCAGGGCTTTCAAAACGTTCGCCATGTTGCCCCACTTTCCCCTATATATATATATATATATATATATATATATATATATATATATATATATATATATATATATATATATATATATATATATATATATATATATATATATATATATTACCATTTTAATCATTTTAAATGGATGCTGCAAAATTTTTATCGACATCCCCCCCCCAACCTCCCTAGAGTTTAAGTATAGTCATTTTAAAAACTGAAAGGACAGAAAAAGGCGTAGCAAAGGTGGAGCGAGCATGCTTCTAGCTGGGTTTTTTTAGAAGTGGCGCCGCTGTTTATTTCATTGAGTAATAATTAAATTTGCTTTGTAGTATATTTCTAACAGAAATTTTTACAAATGTTATCTAAGCTATTTTGTTCATCAATTCACAATTTCGTTCATAAATTAAATGTAATTTTAAGCTTAATTAACTTTAAAAAGTGCACGAGAAGGTAATCCAAATGGCTTTGCTCTTCATCTGTATACAGTAATTTGTCTACGGTTAACCCTCCATTTTTGAATTCTTTCCTTTTCTTGATATATAAATATAAATATAAATATATATATATATATATATATATATATATATATATATATATATATATATATATATATATATATATATATATATATATATATATATATATATATACATATATATATATATATATATATATAAATATATATATATATATATATATATACATATATATATATATATATATATATATATATATATATATATATATATATATATATATATATATATATATATATATATATATATATATATATATATATATATATATATATATATATATATATATATATATTAGGCTGGTTTTTAAAACAACTTTTTTTATAAATGACTGCTGGCACCCTCTGAATATATTGTATATAATAAAAAAATTCTGGATTTAAAAAATTTTTGAATAAAAATTATTTTATGAGGTTGCTACCGACCTTCAAACATTAAATAGGTACCTAACATTATTAAAAATATATATATATATATATATATATATATATATATATATATATATATATATATATATATATATATATATAAATGCTCTGTGACAAGACCGTTAGGACTTCTTGGGGCACCTAAAATAACAAAGAAAAAAAAAAAGAAAAAGATAAAACGCAATTGCCACTAAGTTTCTAAAGCTTTCACTATAGAATTACACTTATTATGCGTTTATTTTACCTAACGGGTTGTAAGAAATACAACCTATAAGAAACAATATTTGATGCAGCAAATAACATGCTCAAACACGCAAACAAAACAAATATGCATAATTACCCGTAGCGTGATTACGATATTCACTTTACTAATACAGGTTGGAAACTAAATTAGTAAAGCGTGAAATTTTATGCGTTACCAAATATTCAGTGGCCAAATACTCGGTGACCGAATATTCAGTGACCAAATACTCGGTGACCGAATATTCGGCAGCCGAATATTTGGTTATTCGGCGGAGAGTCAGGCCGAAAATTCGGTATTCGGTATTCGGCAAAATCACTATTCGTGGCATATCTAATATATATATTCATACATATACACACACATACAATATGAGTAAAAATTAAATAAGAAATAAAAAAGTAAAATAAGTAGTATACTACTAAATAAAAGCATAAAGTCTAAAGTCTTTCACCTGATTTTGAAAAAATGCAAATGACTCTTTTAACATCTTGAAAAATTTCTTGATATATGGACATTAAATCTAAAGAGTTAAAGCGAAATTCAATCACATTATTTCTAGATTGTGTTTTTAGCCTATGTATAACTGAAATAATTTTTTCACATTCACAAGTTGTTAATGGAATTGTTTCTAATAATATAAACGATGTCCTTATATTTGGAAAACCTCTCATGTCAATGACCTTTAAAGTACCAGCAACAACAAGAAATATTTGACTGGTTTTGAAAAATTGTTCTCATAAATCTAACTTAGCATGTATTGAAGTAAAATGAGGCATATCAGATGAATATAAAATTAAAAATTCATAAAAATTAGATCTCCATGGTTTCTTAACTTGTATTCTGTACAGTACAGTTGAAGGAACTGCTGCTAGACCTTTATAAGCAAACATATCATTTTCTGGAAACCTATTATCTAGCATATTAATAGGATGTTCAATTAATGGAGAAGTAATGGTATGTTTAAAATAATCACAAACTGTATTTGTTGGATAATTGTTCCAGTAAATCTGTACGTCACACAATCTAGGTCTCACTTCTTGAATATCAAGACTTCTTGAATATCAATACTGATATCTAGTGATAAATAACCCCACTTTGATGAGGCTTGAAAACTAAATTTAATATTCCAGACTTTTTCGAATACTGGCGCCTACCAAAGTACAATGAAGACAGTAAGTTTTATCTTCTTTGCTAGAATAAGCTAACCAAGAAAGCTGTGCCATTCAATTTTGAATGATCTTTTTGTTACAAAACATATTGGAAAACAGGTATAGAATTAGGACGAAATACTTTCTTTACCATATCTAAATCACATCGTCTTTGCCAGCGGCAAAAGGTTTACCACGGGTAAGATACGTTGATATAAAATTTTAAAACATCATATAAAAATTTTTTTAGAGTCTTTCTTTAAGGGAACATTAACTGAGTTGAAATCTAATGACTCAAATATTTTCGAATATACAGAATGTTTTGAACATTCTGAATATTCGAAAATATTTGAAAAACAGTTCGTATATTCGAAAATAAATATTCGAAAATATTCGAATATTCGAAAATAAATATTCGAATGATTGAAAATAAATATTCGAAAATAAATATTATGCTAGTTTATGCCTTCTTCTTGCTCCAGCCAATTGTACTTTTTATATTGTTGTACTTTGTGATTAATTTTAACGGCAAAATCACCTAATAAACTAAAAAAAAACTAATAAACTAAATATTCGAAAATATTCGAAAAACAATTCTCTGATGATTTTTTTTCACAAAAAAAGTTTTTTTCACAAAAAAAAAAAACTTTTTCTGTAAAAGAATATCATCAGAGAATTGTTTTTTATTTGTTTCAGTTTTAGGACTAATAAAGTGCAATGGATAATTAGCATCGTTTTTTTTATAGCCAAGTTCTTATTATCATATGAAATTAGTCTGGACTTTTTAACAATTGGTACAAAATGGTTAGGTGACCAGATATTAGTATTTTGCATTTTTTTTATTTTTTTTATTTTTTTATTATTTATATATATTTCGTCAATAAACAATCATTTTACAATATTTTTTGTAAAAATTAAAAATTAAATCTTTATATTCTGACAGGAGCAAGTAGAAGACAATTTATCTTATCTTCTTATCACCCTGCTCCTAAGTTCGAGAAAATATCAATAAAACTTTACGTATTAAGTTACTAAAATATACTTATATAAGTTTTATAAATATTACAAGTTTTATACATACTATAACATATTACAGTTCATAAAATATACATGAGTTATAAGAAGCATATATACGTGTTAACAAACCGATATATAAATGCTTTTAAAAATACAAAAGAATGTTTTTATTATTTAAATCTAATAAGTATCGTTTAACTGCTCTTTTAAATAGTTCAAATGAACTCATGTTTTTCATGTCTCTATTAAGGAAATAGTTCCACAAACGTGGTCCTCGACATGTAATTGAGAAGTCTGTTTTTCTAAGGGATGTTGTAGGGATGAGAAAGTTGCCAATGGAATGTCTTGTAGAGTATTTGTGATTAATTAAGGTAAAATGAGGTTAAAAATATGTTGGAAGCATGTTGTTATGAATTTTAAACATAAATAACAATTGATAGATGTTTAGTTTATAAGTATTTAAAATATTAATTTTTTTAAGTAAAGGCTCGGCGCATGCATATCAAAATTAACCGACTCGCTTGCTTTTGTTTGGTATTAATTTTTTTTAAAGAAGATAAGTAATTACTTGCCCACACTATATTGCAATAATAATGTGACTATGAATAAATGAAAAGTACAAGCTTTTTAAGAACATTACATTCAAAAGGTGCTTCGTTTTGAAAAGGATCACAAGAGGTTTTGAAATGCTGTTTTCCACTAATTGGATATGATTTTTCCAGTTTGAATGATCGTCAAATATTATACTTTTTCATTGAATTTTTTCAATGAAAAAGTATAATATTTTTTTAAATTGATTTTCATTGAATGAACTCTTTTTACTTTAATGTTGTTTATAAAAAAATCAGGAAGTTTTAGGGGTATGTTATCAGTTATCGAAAGTTTCGTGAACAGAATGCATTTAACTTTATCAATGTTTACGGACAGTTTATTGGCTTTAAACCATTCATTGAGATTAATTAGCTCTGTGTTTACAATAGAAAAAATAAATTTTAAATTAAAAAAAATATAATTAGTATTAATAAGTATCATCAGCAAAAAGAACAAAATTAAGGAATTTAGAGGATAAGTGGATGTCATAAATATATAAGAGAAACAGCAGAGGACCAAGTATTGAGCCCTGAGGGACACCACAACTAATAACTTCTAACTACGTACAAGTTAAATCATACGTCACACATTGTTTACGATTTTGTAGATAAGACTCAATCCATTTTATATTAGTATTTTGAACTCCATAATTTTTTACTTTATAGAGAAGGATTTCGTGGTCGACAGTGTCGAATGCCTTCGACAAATCAACACAAATTACTGACATAGTATCATTATAACACCATAAAATATTTAATATATTTTGATTTTTAATAGAACAAAATCGAAAAAGAATTGTATTAAAAAGTTTTTTGAACTTTTCTAGGCCAACATCAGGATAAAATGATCTAGAAGGAACATTTTAAACTGACGACAAACTAATTAGACATAAAAACGAAGAAAACTTGTTAGCTTGGCAGTTAATCAATACTTCTATTTTAATAGTTTCAGAACCTGATTCACTGTTAATTAATTTAAGTCGATCTGAACATTCAAAAGAAACTCAGGCTGCTAGCAAACTGAAATGATTTGAAAAATTATTGTTTTCTACCTGTTTAGCAAAAAAGGAGTATCTTGCATACAAGGAAACGTTATTAAACAATTCAATCAAAGTTAGAAGCCTCAATACATTAACTGTTTTCTGAGACGAATTGCTTAAAAGGAGAAGCTAAACTGTACCGGCAATTTTTTGGGTTGCTTGCTACAAAGTAATCGCGAATATTTTTTTTCGAGTTTAAAACAAATTTTTCATTTTTTATGAATATCAGATTCTAATATCTACTTTAACTTTTTACTAAGAAAAAAAAGTGAAAAAGACTGCAAGCTTCAGTGGCGACACCCTAGATCCGCCCCTGGAGTTATTACGTAGTTTTTAAGCAGTTATTTTTACATCATAACACTCTATGTAACACTCTAAATTACAACTAAATATAAAATTACTACCTTAAATAAAGTTTCTATAAAGTACAAAAAGCTACTGTATATAATATAAAAATATGTTGTTTAGCTTAATCAGCATTTCTCATAGATGTCAAAAAAATCTTGAAGACACTTAATTACTCGTTACGCACACTTAATTGCTCGTTTTGCACACTTGATTTGTTCTGGGAATCTCCAGTCTTAACGATTCCTGATTCCAAAACTTTATCACTAAGTTTGTGACCATGCAAGCTGAAAATCACCTGCATTGTACATTAGGTCAGTAAACCAATGGTCCGCTTATCTTAAGGAGATGAATCTACAAGTGTTTAGTAGTGAGTCTCTTCTATCTGGCAGAAGAATAAATGCCAAAAGAGCTAGTATTGCCTGGTATTTCCGTCTTGCATTATTTAAATTAGGTACTTTCTGAAACTTTACTTAAGGAAATATTCCAGATTCTTTAAAAAAAGCAGAATAACTGAGTTAAATGAAATTTATCAATTAAATCAAAATTTCATATCATCACGCTAAACTGATTTTTTAGTTATTCATAGTTCTTTACGAATTTTGGGATAAATGGATATTCAATATTGGGAGACATCTTGTTTCCTCCAAGTTCTTTATCCATTACTACGCAAAGGACTTAGTTGAGAACATAATGTTAACATAATGTAATATGTTAACACTTCTAGTTTCTTTTCAGTAAAACATCTTTGCAACTGACTGACAATCCCATTTCTGTTTTCAGTGTTTACCAGTAGCGTAGCGATGGGCCCGCAGGACCTGTAGCCGCGGGAGGGCCCAGAGTTATTAGGAGCCCAAGCCAAGTTTTTCAATTTTTTTAAAAAAATTGTCATTCTTAAAAAAAATAAGCATGTACATAACGACATTAGCAAAATTTGCTACTATTATATACCTAAGATCTACAAACTCTTTTTCAGACAAATTTTATTTAGTTTAAATAATGACAACAATATTTTAAATGGAGAGCTTTTATTTACTTGTATCTAAAAAATTAAAACAAACTGTTTTAACTCATAAATATACAATTTAGTTAAGTGGTAAGTATGATGTCGTGCGGTTTTAAAGCTAAGTTTAAAGAAATATTGCAACAACGGACGCCGAGGTGGCAGTGTAGCTATCTTCATTACTGAAGTATTTATCTTTTATGAAGTTAATTAGTTTTATAAAACTTTTCTCAAACAAGTTTTGGTATCTGTAAAAGTTAACAATAAACATATACTTATCTAGGTTATACATAGACCAAATGGTGCTAATTTAATATAATATATCACTGAATTATTTATACAATATACAATATATAAATATGCACGCTTTGGGTTTCACAAAGTAAAAACCAAAGATTCATAAAATTGAAAACCCCTTTTCAGAAATCCTAACTACGCGGCTGTATATATAAAAAAAAATACATACATATCTATAGTAAAATTGTCACCAGGCACCGTTTTGTATATAAAATATAAAATGGATAGTGTATAATATATAGTGAATATCTTTTTTAGCATACCAAGAGTTTGTAAATTTGATTTTATTTTTACATATTATTGTTAAGAAAAAAATAATAAAAAATTTTTTATGTGTAAATATATATATATATATATATATACATATATATATATATACATATATATTTACATATATATATATATGTATATATATATATATATATATATATATGTATATATATATATATATGTGTGTGTGTGTGTATATATATATATATATATATATATATATATATATATATATATATATATATATATATATATATATATATATATATATATATATATATATGTATATATATATATATATTTATTTATATATATATATATATATATTTATATATATATATATATATATATATATATATATATATATATATATATATATATATATATATATATATATATTTATATATATATATATATATATATATATATATATATATATAGTATATATATATATATATATATATATATATATATATATATATATAATCAAACCATTAGATGTTAAAGGGTGCTTGTTTACTCCACAAAGTGTTTGTTTATTCCATTTTTTATATTTTGTTTTTAAACAAATGTATTCATAAATATATTAAAAACGTTATTATAAGCCATGTACTTTATATACAAGTTTGTACATAGCATATTTTTACAAGCACCCCACGTAGAAGTTATTAGTTTTAGTACATAGTGTTGCAGTAAGAATAAAGAAAACAGTATAAACTTCCCCTAAAATTTTCTTCCGCAGTGTTCTGTGACATAATTGTTACGTCTTCTTGAAACATTCTAATAACCAGGAAAAAAAGTTTTAACGAGTTACGACATCGAGTCGAAAATTTTAAATAATGAATTATTATGTTACTAACTGCAAAAACATATTTTTTTAGAAACAAAGTCATGTAAAATGCGTAATCGCGAAAATCAAATGACACGAACCTTATTGGTTATTACATTCTCGTTTCTCGTTTTACTTGCTTGGCAATGCATTTCACAATGTTTTTGGATGCAGTGGGAATACAAAAAGGAAAAGCACTCTCGTGTTTGGGAAATTGTGGATAAAAACTTTGCTTTTGGAAAATTGGGCGTTGTTATAAACTCCTCAATAAACTTCATTTTGTATTGCTTGACAGGAACAATGTTTAGAAAAGAATTCAAGAAAGTTTTTTGCTTTAAAATATCTATTAAAGGCAAGTTGTTAGAATCCATTAAAGATAGGAGTTCATCATTTGGGCACTCGTCAACAACCAAAGTTACAACAATAATTGAAAATTGTGAAACAACCAAGGTTTAATCAAGATCTTTTGTTAGAAAATTATTTGATGCGTGACATAAGGATGATGCCTTAACTTACATTGAAGTTATACGTGATGGCGTTTCTATGTTTTTCTTTTAACTATATATTAAAAAAACATTTATTATAAAATTATACTTAGCTAAATAAGTAATAATAAATACGTTAAATTTTGTAAATTTTAAACATGTTTTGAAATATTTATAAGAAATTTGAATATGGAGAACTTTTTTTTTGTTATATATAAAATTAAATCTACTTTATAAGTAAACATACTTTGCAAATACATATAAATGTAATATGTAAATGGAAATAAAATATTGAAAAATAATTTGTAAATTTATTGATTTAGATTAAATTTTTTTCTTGTTTTCTGTAATAAATTAATTATTAATTAATTTTAACAGTTTTTTTTATTATTAACACTTCATAAAATACTTTTAATATATCCTGACCCCTTTATACAGGTTCTGACATTTTTAAAAAGTTAAAAATAAATTTGAAACAATTAAAATACAGAATTTTAACACGCTTAAAAACTTCGATATAAAGTAAACTACAATGATTTTTTCTCTCACAGCTGTTACTTTTTTGAAATGTAAAACTGGCATTTGTTATAGTACCTGATGAATTTTATAGCTCCTGTATGCATTTTGTATTGTTCGCGGTATTTTGTATGGTTCTCAATATTAGGTAAAGAAAAAAAGCTACATTATAGCAAATAATGCAAAGCTAGTATACGTTTAAAAATGAAAAATTCGCATGAGTTGAGTTGTATAAATTGGATCTATGTTAATCCTTATAAATTAAATCAACGTTGAGTTTAGATCGTAAAAACTTTTACGATCTTTTTACATGCGTTAAACCTGCGCAGATGTAACAACGCAAGCTGTTTTTAGTTCCGTTGATATAAATCTTTCAATGATATAATTGCTAATAGTCTAGTCAAATTAGGTCAAAAAATGGGCTCACCTGGACAAAATTTGGATATAAATGAATTTTGTATCATATGAAGCGTAATTTTATCAACTTTAATATATCCAAAATCCACCAAAATTCACTTTGGGCAAAAAAGTGATAACTGTTATTGCTGAACTCACTTTTTAGATTAAAAAAAAATTAAACCCGTACGACTTGCTTTTTAAGGTGAGTTTCCACTTATCCTTTTTTCTACGGGAACCGGATAGGAAAGGAAAAAATAATCACGTGAGCATGCGTAGTTTTACTTCGGACAAATTAAAACTTATAATACGCATGCCCACGTGATTCTTTTTCCTTTCTCTTTCCCGTTCCCGTGAAAAAACGGATGAGTGGAAATTCACCTTAATACGTTGTGATAATATAGCAAAAAATGGATTGCATGCTCAAAATGCGCCAATTTTTCTTTTCAAATAATATATTTTGTGTACTTGGTAAACTGTAGAGCCGTATGTTGATGTTGTTAAATACTATTTTTAAATTTCATGTTTTAATTTCAGATATATTGTTAAATATATCTTAAATTAAAATATACAATGTTGAACACATTAAAAGAAACTTGTTTGCTTTGCAAAGTGACCTTCCTAATCAAACGGAAAATGTTGGGAGAAAAGGTATTAAAGGCTTAATTCATTATTCACAAGTACGCAACAATAAAGACCTCAAAGAAGAACTCAAGGAAAGGAACACGGTCGCTGCCCACGCGGCATGCAGGCGTGATTTTACAAATCCGAAAATAGAAGCATAAAAATGTCAAACGGAAAGCCCTAAAATTAAAAAATTGCGTTCAGCAAAATATTTTTGTATCTACTCAATCTTCTGCTTGAGTCACTAATCCATACAATTAACTATGTTTATATATGTAGGAGTTACTTTGTTCAATTATGTTCTTTAAGCTGTTTTTTATAAATTAATTGTGCAGTCTCATCATAACGACATCCCACTTGCTTAAAAATAGCAAAACACTAGCTTAAAATTTATTTTTTTTAAACCAATTTATTTTTAACTTAGACCGATATACTCAACTGGAAGCGTACAATAAAATTTAAACAAAGTTTGCTTAAGGTTTGTGAAGACAGAAAAGATATATGGGCATTTGAAGTAAAATCTCGTTTGAATTGCTTTTGTGATCTGGTTGCAAGTGATGCAATATACTACTTTGAATATTAAAAGGGTTTCAATCAACTGGTTTTAATTCCAATATATTTGAATTGATTTATCTTCTCATGTTATAGCAATATATAAAAAATGTTGTTAAATGCAATTAACAAGTACAAATTGCAAATGATAAAGTGATTTGTAGTTTTTCCATGATAAAGTAACAAATTGACCGATTTTGACCGAGTTTTGAATTTTTATATTCGTTAAGTGTATTTTTATGTTTCATATGCTAATATTTACAGGTCAAATTTGATTGAAACAGAAAAGCCTGGTCGCAAAAAAAATTCAACAATGGCGAAACACTTTTTAAGGCTTTGTGATTGGTTTGAGAGTCAAATGGCTCCTGTCACAACTACTGAATTACACATTAAAATGAAAGAGCTAGCGAATTCCAAAGATATTTATTCAATGAAGCACTTAAAAAGAAAATTAGAAGAAAAATACAAAAGCAACATAATTATTAGTCAAACTGAAGGAAAATCTAATTTAGTATGCTTTAAAGATGCAACTACACTTATTATTAACAAATCTAAGGTAGAGAACATAGATACAAACGAAGGTGAAGTTATCATTAGAACCGCGGCCAAGTTGATAAAGACAGAAATTTTAAATCTTAAGTTCAGCAAAGAGAATTACTCAACTAAATACGATATTGAGCATCATGAAGAATGTTTAAGCGCATTACTTCGCCTCTTTATGAAACAAATTACATCTGACGAACTAAAACAATCTTCCATTGGTCAAACTATAACAAAAGCTATTCAATCGAGATTTTACGTCCCACCTTTGCTTTTTGGTTTAGGATTAGAATCAGATCACAAGTTTGCATCAAAATGGTCAACAAATAAGCTATTTAAACTAGGCTTTTGCATAAATCCATTATAAATAACACGCTTCAAACACTCTGTTATGGCTAGCGACGATATCATTGTTGAAGGAGTGCTGAATGGATTATTTACTCAGTGGGTGGCAGATAATGTTGATTATAATATCTGTACATTAGATGGTAATGACACTTTTCATGGGGTGGGAATCATCGCTGCTGGAATGATGAACTCTAAAGTTTTAGATAATCTTCATCGAATTAAAAAAATAAGGTATGGTTTAAAGGCAGCAGAAATAAATTCTAAAATAAATATTCCAATTTTGTCGTATGACGTTCCTGACACAGCAGCATTAACAAAGATATTGTTCAAGCCCATTGTTGAGCTTTAGTCACCACAGACTTTTTCACTATCTCTTGGTATTGATCTTTTCTGGCAAAGTTCGTTCACTTCAATGGCTTGTGAGAACCGGGCACAATGGAGTGGGTTTATGCAACTTCATCATTATGGTAAATGTCATCCCGGAAAAAGTGAGATATTCATGGCGCCAATCATTAACTTAAACCTATCTGATGAAACCTGCCTTTATTCTACACTAGTTTTTATACAAAATCAAGCAAAATTAATGAATTTATCTACTCCAAGTGTAATTATATAAAATTGCACAGTCTAAGCAATTAAATATAGTTATTTGATTAGGAGGATTCCACATCTTAATGAGCTCCCTAGGAAGTATTGGTTTGGTCATGGAGGGATCAGGACTAAATAAATTACTCGAACTTATTTATGCAAGCAACTCTGTCACGTATATAATGACTGGTAAAGAGGTCACTTCTTAGTTGAGTCTGCCTTAATGAGTCTACTGATTAAACAAAGCCCCAAAGATGAAGCTGATAATTCTCTAGAAAATATATATCAGGATCTGGTCCAAGGAAACATGGATTTGGAGAGATAAACAATAGCAGTGTAGTTAAAAGATTCACAAATCTTATTGGAAATTTAAAAATACAGCTTTCCAGTTCTTCCAGAACAGCAAAGCTATGGTTGCAATATCTTGAATACATAAGCATTATAAAAAAATTCATCAGAGCAGAGAGAACTGGGAACTGGCACGAACATTTGGAAGCCATCAGATACTGGGCTAGTCTTTGGTCTGATTTAGTAATTGAACAGTGCATGATGAGATCAATAGAAAGCAGTGGAGGCTTAACGAGAGTCTTCCAGTATATATATTGTACATATATTACAAAAAGTATGGTAATCATACTTAATTATTTTTGATGGTTACAAATTATCCATCAAAAATCAAGAACATCAAAGGAGAGCGAGAAATTTTGTCAACATTATATTCCAACCAAAAAACCAAATGAAGTGCAAAAAATTTGAATTTCTGTCAAATAGTAATAACAAAACTGCTTTGATCAAAGCATTGGGAATGAGGCTAAGAGAAAAAAGTCGTATATTAGTAGAATGCGAAGGAGATGCTGACAGAACCATTGCTACAAAAGGAATCTAGCTTGTACAAAATAGAAAGTGTGTGACTATCATAGCTGATGATACAAACATTCTTGTGATGTTGGTTCATATATGGGATCAAACAATGTGTGAGATTTTTTTCCGCCGCAAATTTAAAAAAAATATTAAAAAAATGGAAACAATCAGCATAAAGAATGTTACATTATGTTTATCATATCACGTGAAAAAATGTTTGTTGTTTATCCATGCATGGAGTGGATGTGATACTACCTCTGCGCTTTTTGGTCAAGGAAAGATAGGTGTAATGAAGTTTATTGAATCAAATAGCGAGTTTGCTCAATCTTTATGTAAAATATTCCAAGATCCCTTTGCAACACAAGATCAGGTAACTAATGTTAGAATACAAGTGGTTTTGAACATGTATGGTATGCAAGGCAATGATCTTTTTTTTTTATTATTTATTTACAATATTGTTTATTTTATAACTATACGTCCATGTTGTTTTGGAGAGGTTTAATTTAGCTCAACTATTATTATAGGTGAAAAAAATAAACAAGTTTCGCATGCACAACTTAGGAAACAAAAATATATGAGAATGGTGGCAACTTCCAAAAAAGGAATTTAGCCAGAACAACTACCACCAACCGAAAGCGCCATCAAGTATCATTCATTTCGAGTGTATTTAAAAATTCAACAATGGTTGAGAGTCAATATGGATGAAACATAGTGGGGATGGAGAAAGGAAAATGACGTTTTAGCACCTATAAAGACAGACAAGGTATGTATAATGGAGAATCAAAAAAAACCAAAAATGCTGATTTTACTTTTAAAACGATTTCTTGAAAATACTCATTTTTCAATAAACAACTTAAGTTTAATCAAGCTCGCAAAAATAGTTTTAATTAACTTTTCAACTTAAGTATTTTTTTTTATTCAGGTTCCTGCACCATTTTACATTCTTAATATCATAAGATGTAACTGCGGCACTAATACAAAAACACCATGCCAAAAACAATGCCCATGTCGACGACACGGAATAAATTGGATGACAGCCTGCGGACAGTGTCAAGGTTTGGAGTGTACAAATGCACCAAAAAATAACGTCAATATAGATGACAGCGAAAAAGAATACGAAAGTAGTGAAGATGGAGATGGAAACATTTTTGAAAAAATGTTTGACTTTTGATTTTATTTCTAATTATAATAGTCGATTGTAAAAAGCACTAATATTTAAACCTTAAATAAAAAATTATTCAAAAGTAGTTAAAAATATATTTATTATGAAAGAAAATAGTTCAAAAATGCTAGTGTTTTTAAATAGTTATACTTATAAAGAAGTTTTTTTCAAAGTCTCTATTTCAACTATTTATCTAATAAAATTTTAAGTAAAGGTGTTTTATTTTACTATAAGTAATAGCCAAATTAGAAAATATTGTAAAAAAAACTACTGACATTAGCATTTAAGAACATGATTTCTGAAGCACATTTCCTTCTTTTAAATTTTTACGTATTAGGCTATACCTGCACAAAATTTCAAAAAAACTTATCAACTTTATAATGAGTTATTACAACTTATTGACAGAAGACGCGACAGTTTTTATTTGCATTTTCAATAAATTTGAATAAAAGTGAGGTGAGCCAAAATAATCATAACTTTTTTTGCCCAAAATGGATTTTGGTGTATATTAAAGTAGATAAAATTACCGATCGAATGATACCAAATTCATCTTTATCCAAATTTTGTCCAGGTTGGACCCTAATTTGACTAGACTATACCACATTGAAATGACATAAATCTTATTAACCATATCTTTACTTCACCTAACCAAATCTTCACTTCACCTGACCAAATCTTCACTTCATCTAACCAAATCTTCACTTCACCTAACCAAATCTTCACTTCACCTAACCAAATCTTACTTAAGTTTGTCATACCACACAAAGTACAATTAAATCTATCTATCTACAAACCTAGTCTTTTTATTTTTAAAGTTTACACAGTTGTAGATTTTAACCATATTTATTATGTCTTATCCTTACCAGAGTACATTAGTTAATTTTTGTACAATTCGACTGAAATAAACGCGGCTTAACCCGTCAATCAATGTATGTTTACATATATATTGATTGAATGATGTCTACAACTTATTTAAAAGTTTTATGGTTTCCCTGTGAGCATCGGATCAAAAAATAACGTCTTTTGAACGTTCAAAAGACGTCCAAAACGTTCAATAGACGTTCAAAAAACGTCTAAAACGTGTATAAGACGTTTAATAGAAGTCTTTTTTACGTCCGTACCCGCTGGGTTTTATTCTTCAAAATTAAAAGTGGACAATTGAGTATTTTAATCATAAAAAGTAACTATGGTTACTGACTTATTTGTAAGTGTACCTTGCTTCTCATAAACAAAAATTAATAACTTATTAGACCCACCCAAAGTCCATGATTTAATGTATCGTACACTGTTAAAAAAATATCGCGTTTTTTACGGAAAAGTTCCGGCAGCTGCCGATGACAAAACCTCCCGTTATTTTACGGAAAAACCCATCGCATGTAAACGGAAGTTTCCGTAAATAAAGGGATATTTCCGTTTAAATATAATGGATTTTTTCCGTTAAATAACGGGAGGTTTTGTCATCGGCAGCTGCCGGAACTTTTCCGTAAATAAAGGGATTTTTCTGTTTAAATATAATGGGTTTTTTCCGTTAAATAACGGGAGGTTTTGTCATCGGCAGCTGCCGGAAATTTCCCGTAAATAAAGGGATATTTCCGTTGAAAATCAACTGGTTTTTCCGATTAAACAACGGAAAGGTTGTGGAAACTCAACTACTGGATAATTTTCGCAGTTATAATGTTGCAGTTATATTCCGTTCATATGAAAATTTAAAAAGTGAGCATTTTAGATATAAAATAGACA